TGGGGGAGGGGGGGGGCCCCCCCCCCGTTTAATATTAGGGGGTCAGGATTAAAACCGATGTTGTCAGTCAATTTCTGTAAGACCCGACCGCCGAAGCTGTCATCAACATGATGCCGGTGACTTCTACCAGACGCTTTCATGCTGTGAAGAGCATACGCGTTGCGAATGATGCGACGCACAAACCCGTCCTTGAACCTGGCCCCAACCGCGAAAGTGGGCGAGATCGGTACACCCGTACAAACATGCCGGGCTGTCCAAAACTGGCAGATTGGGTTGCTGCTCAAAACAAAACAATCGACACAGACTGCTTCATGACATGGCTGCGGCAAGCCACCTAAGCCTGCTACCATGTCAAGATCGACTACGAACCCTTGATGTAAAAATCCCTGTCCCATGTCCTTCGTCATGGGATTTACGCCCAGGCCGTTGGGCCTGATTCCAAGTTACAATGCGACCAGCTTTTGGCTCAGAAAGGCCAATGAGCTGAGTGCGATGCCGGTTGAGCTGTGTTACCCAAGCGCTGCCTGTGAGCTCGCAGACGCAGCCTACAAGGCGTCCTGCGCTTCTGTGACCTGCCTTGGTCACCTGCAAAGCCGGCGTCGCCTTCCCTCCCTGCCAGGACGTAGACCTCAGGGCCCAGGGAAAGCACGAGGAGACACTTGCGTATGAAGAGCTAGGAACATCGGGTCGGAAGGCCAATAGAGTTACTGCTGCAGGTGAGCCGTTGATCCAGACAGGGCATGCTGAAGACTGAATCAGACCTCCAACGATTTTCAGTGACTCATGCACGTGTTGCGCATCTGCACTTGCTGCGAGGTTGCGCGAAATCCTGGCAGGATCTCAAGATTCCAATACCCCCGTTTTCAGAAACTGACAACACGCACAACACGCAGAAAGGATCTGGACTTCTTCCTGCGTGTCAGAGGCCTTCATTTCTGACCACGAAGGTCCACACTCACAAGGACTTGGGGGTCTGTACAACAAAGCTTCTTCTATTATGCAGGTAGGTATACACAAGCTTCCTTTACGCAGCTATATGTCGCGGTTGGCAACAGCTTGTACTCTGCAATTAGAATATAATCCTTCGGGTGCAGATGGGTGCAGGTCTTGGGCTGTCCCGACTTTGGGAGCCGAACAAGACTCGAGATTCTAAGAAGAGTAATAATAGGAATAATAGGAATAAGAACATGATCTGAATAGCAACAATTATACTAAAACTCATAAGAACAACATTAACAAGACTGATAACAAGGGGGTTTGAGACAATGAGGACCTTTGCATCCATCCCCTAAACCCTAAACCCCATGTATCAGAAAGCCGGAGTCGAACAATCCCCTGTGGTCCTACGGTCTAATGTATAACAAACACTGGTCCCATAATCCCAAACTGTTCGGATCCATATAAAGAACCCTAATAAGGACCCAAGGCCTCTTGATCTGGTTCCTATACTATACCCCGAGACCCTTATAGTACCCTTATAGAGCCCTCTAGAGCAACCCTTATAGCTCCGACATGACTAGCGATTAATGACATCTCCTGAGGGAAGGACCAATCCCTGCTGCTGCGTCATCATCCCTTGACGAGCAAACCTACAGGCGTCACATTGTGTGGATGGGCAAAGATACAGCCTCGTGTTTCATTGAGTTGAAGAGCCCCTTCGAAATTGGACGGGCAGGCCAAGGCCACGACATCAAACTCCCGGCCTGTAGACTGAGTTGTCGCGAGCTCCACCTTTACCCTGATCACAAGAAGTCGAAGAGCCCTCGAACCTCAAGACAAGGACGTTGTTGGCAATCGTGCAGGTGCGGCTCCAGGACTGTTATTGCCACAAGAACCAAAACACCCCAGATCCGATCCATAAAACTTATTGCAAGCACCTCAAGAACATGACCGGCTAGGTTCAGGGGGTGCTGCGCTAACTTGAATTGATGGCAAGCTGGCATCTGCCGTCCGGCTCTAGGGTTGCCTGACGGCCTCAAAGATCATTCACCGAAGACTCGTGGATGCTCGACAGCCTTCCAACTTCAGCTCTTGTTCTTCGAACTGAAGCTCTTCGTGTACATCACTCTGCCGCCCCGAAGAAGTCTTCGGATATCCGTTGCTGCTGGCTCCACAGACTTCCATGAGTGCGAACAACAACTCAAGCTTAGGCCACAACCGAAAGTAGAGATGCGCATCCTCACACAGTACAATGCGACAGCAGCAACCGCAGGCCAACGGAATCTTTTCTAGCCACAGCGAAGGAAATGACAGTTAGTTCATCAGGTCTGGAACCGCGAGTCCTCAACCCCACAACCCTGCAGACCTACTGTGCAAGTAGTGTTCCTTTCAATCCGGGGTCCTTTGAGGTGGCACACACCCCCATTTGACGAATGGCGAACACCTCATAGCCCAACCGCAGCGTGGCCAGAGCGCACCTAATGCGGCTTTCATTGCACAATCGCTGAAGCAAGCGGCTCTCGATCACAGGAGAGGAGTAGGGGCCCCGAAGAACTTGCAGCCCGTGGCCTTTGTGCCCATGGCCCGTTCAGCTCTCAGTGACATTTTCCTTGTCACCGTCGGCCGTAGAGCTGCGTTGTCATCACAATCACCATCACCACATCATCGCCACAATCATCTTGCTGTAAGTAGTCGTTGACATCGTTGCCGTCAGTGTCGTCAAAATTCTCATCGCACTCATCATACCTGTAATCATCTCATTATCAGCATCACCACAACCGTCGTAATCATCATTTCACCGACATGATCAGCACAGTAGCAGTAGCATCATCATCAACAGCATCACCATCATCATCATCATCACCGCACTGTACGGCATCAAACAGAAGAAAAAATGCATCCTTGCCGACACAGGTAGCCCTAGCGCGCGTCCCGAGCTCTTTCTGCTCCAGTCTGTCTCTTACTGGCGCAATCAGATCGCAGGTGTATGATGCCATGTCGAGCGCAGGTGGATCTTGTGATTGCTGCATACATCCGTTGTTGCTCTCGTTTTTGCTCTACTGTCACTTGTGTAGCCCAAGTCGGCAGCTGCAGTTCTTACCGTCCCCAGCGACAAGGCTGAAATTAAGATTCCCAGCATGAAGTCTGAATCAAGCCCACTGACAGCCAAGGATTTCAAGCTGAGCGGTCGTACGCTGTGATGGCCGCAGGTCGGTTCTCGGGGATACCCTGGCATCGTTCGAATATCAGCAATGGCTGCTTCGCAACATGTGGGTGGTAGTCAAAACTAGGGTCTCTTTGCTGTATTAAGAAGGGTCCCCCCCCCCCCCCCNNCCCCCCCCCAAAAAAAAAAAAATACTGAGACCTACGTCATGTAGATCCAGCAGAACCGACAATCACTCGTCCTCAGATCCTCTGGCGCTGCTGGCAGCATCTGCCTGCAGGTAATCGATGCCCCAGGGGAGTGGCTCGCCTCGAGCGGAGATGTGAGGCCGTAATCAACGTGCAGGCTCCGAACAAGATCCGGGATATGCTCTCAGCGAAGCAGGAACTTCTGCAAGGCTTGGCGCACGCTGAATCAGCAACACAACACGATCTTTGGCAGGGCTCTGGGTTGATGTGATATGATTAGGTGATTAGGTCATTCGGACTCAGAGCAGGCGCTCAAGCCTTCGATGCTTGGAATCCATGGCGACTCAATGTTCTCACGCCAGCAGCCCATCGAAACATACTCCAATGCCGGCCTCAGCCAACCGAACACTCGAAGGTGATCAGAAAGGGCATTGAAGTCATCGTACTTCTCACAAGACTTCCTTCTCTGCCACTCTTTCTCTGCTTGACTCATGATGCAAGCACTCCAGATCGAAGCAGCGAGCTCTGCCGCTAGCATCGGCTTACTGCCACCGCGCTGCATCATCAAGAGGCGGTTGTTGGCGGAGTCGCTAAGGTAGACCAGGCCTCGCTAGGTTTGCACACACTGCACCACTCGCCTCGATGTTGTCCAGTGCCTGCATCCGTCGCCACCCCGCTTGGCTCGTTGAGCTCTGCATTGGGGGCCTCCAGCGGCAGCCCCTCCTGGCCCAGAAAGGTTCCGATAGGCGGCCGTGAACCATCTAAGCCTCATGCCGTGTTCAACAAAGCATCGGATATACGGAGAGGTCAACCCAAGGCAGCAACCACACACCTTCGGATGATATGCAAAGATTTGCTATGCGCTGTAGCATATTTCGGCCCTCAGCGCTCGAACTCATCAGCCTGTGCCCAAGCACTGACCTATACATCTCCAATTGACTGTAAAAGTCACAGAAAGTCACACCGGGCATGAGACATTCACATACAGTGCAGAAAGCAAAAACACACGTCTATCTGGACCTCAGCTCTTGCCCGAAGCCCGGGAGTGGTGCCTGGAGGTCGTTCCCACGCTGGCCAGAGCCAGCCAGCCTGGAGTGCTGCAGTTCCGATACATGCCTGTCTCCAACAGGAAAACCCCAACTGCTACAACCCTTCCAACTGATCCCGCTCCAGGGACGTGTTGATCACGCCCAGATAGCTCTGAAACTCCAGCGACATGGATCGCACCTCGCGGCATGTCCGCTGCTTCATGTCGCTAACATCATCCGGAAACATTGAGCATTGCTAAAAAGGGGTAGCACTATATTGGCTATTTTGCGAGTGGTAGCCATCCTCTTCCATTCGATGGCCGTCACTTTGGCCAGTTAGATCCGATCGAGCTCGTGTGGTCACCAACGCGGGGGTCTACAGCATGTTTTTCGGTTTGGGCGCTCTTTTACAAATACAACAGCACTTCAACACTCTGTTGTTGCTTGCACAACTTATCAACTGGACTGCCGGGATTTCGCCTGCTGGCCCATGCTTTCCGCAATGTAGACGTTGACAGGCAGCGTGCCGTCCTGTGCGGGCATGCAATGAATAGCCAAGAGTTTTTCACGCCGCGACGTCTGGAGGGGTCCTCGTTGCTGACGAAAGCGGAAGACACTGCAACCCCGGAAGGGCCCTGCAGCTGAGAGGTCGGCAATAAGCACAAAGGAGACTCTCTGCCCGGCCTGCATCCGTGCCCGCCAGGCCACTCCGCCGTCGCCTTTGCCCTGGCTTTGTCCAGTGGAGCCCCCGGCAGCTGTCAGGATGACGTTGGCTTGGAACTCGTTGCTGCCTTCAGGGATGCATCCTCCAAAAACGACGGATAAAAAGCCGTCGCGGCTTGTCTAAAATAACTTGATGCTGTCTCGCTGGCAAACGCGTGTTAAGGCCTGGAAAGTGCCCCTACACTTCCAACTCGAATCGATCGGGTTGAGACTTGGTAACACGTCAAACACCTTTCTGAGGACCTGAACACGAATGAGGCCATGGCTCGAGGCAAGAAAAAGGGAGATTCTTGTGTGCAGTCGAATTCTGGCCTAGTACATCTGTCACAACTAAGTCTTGCTTTTGGTGAGACTAGAAGGATGTGAGATGTCTCCCTCGGGTACGTGTTTGTCTCAAGATCGATTTCTCACAAAGTCTCGACGAAACTAGAAGTTGCCAAAACGGCGGCTTCAGGGGAAGAAAGGGACGGCTTCAGATCCTGAAGATGCTGGTTCATGTGAGCCCGGGCCACTTGATGGAAGTACAATCCGCTTTCGGAGGCCTCGACACTGCCCACTTGAGAACGACATCAAACGTGCTTGCTGCCGCTTTTTTGACATAAGTCTCAGGGTGTGAACTCCAAGCCAAGAGGTTGGAGTTTGAGAGTTTAACCGTTGTGAGTCTGACAGGCGAACGGCTCGGTGTGATTCAACATCAAGATGTGGCTTGAGGCCCGGATTGAAAGTTCCGACTGCAAGGGCAACGAGCTTCTATGCATACCTGGCGAGTTCGACAGTTTCGAATTAACGCGTCGAAGATTGAGAGTCGGAGAGGTTTGAGCTTTGCCGCCCGCTGTCCCATGTCGTATCTCCATCACGTGACACCATTGCGGTTGCCACCCCTTAATCCTGCCCAAGGACAATCTGCCTGTCTTCACTGCAGACCCCAAAGCTTCGAAAGTGTACATGCGCCCTCGCAAGCGCGAGCCTGGAATCCTGACCGGGATTTCCATGGACACCACACGGAGCACATTGTTGCCACTATCGCCTGCAAAGCCGACATCAACGACATGGTGTTTCTGGCCGGCATCTTATGCAAACGTTGCAGGCCAGGTGCAAATCCAGAGCATCTGGTTCCTGGGCGCAAAAGGCAAGGAATCCACCGGTCTTCCTCTGCTGTGGTATGTTCTGGCGCACAATCCTTCCTATGATGTACTTCATAACAACATTGTGCCAGGCCGGGAAAAAACGGCAATTGCGACATCGAAAGACATTGCACATGCACACATTTGCGTGTTCGTGGAAAATGGAAACACCTATTGTCTTGGAATATTTTAGGCCCGTGGCGGCAGCTGCAAGCGTACCTCCTACACCGCAAGTAGCGCCCTGGAATTTGCAATGGTCCACCGTCGACACCCCCCCCGAACAGCGAGATCGACACGACCTCTTCCCGCTAACAAGGGCTGGGTCCAGGACAGGTCCACAGCCACGCCTGAAGGTCCATTCAGCTGTGCCTGGCCCGGCGCAAGTCTTCGGGCAGGGACCCCAGTGCATTGAACCAAGCAGCAACAGTCAACAGTCGCCTGCACCTGTGCATGTAACTTCTTGACCACAAGGCACAGGCTAGGAATGATGGCCAAATCCCTGAAACAAGTTTTTGACTTAAGACGAATCCTGGACTTCGCAACCTCACTCGCCTCCCGTGCTGGCCCGCCATCACCGGAGAAGCCCCGAAAGCCGTTCCCGGCGACTGTTTCAATGATACCTCTCTGGCACAGGCGCATTCACATGACGTGAACTGCATGAGATGGCCTCCTTGTCATAGTTAGCTGACTACTTTCTGTGCAGCACAAGAATGCTCAAGACACACATGAGTGATTTGCTATGGCCATGGCTTTGTGGGCACTTGCATTCAGACCCCTGAGTGAACGGACCAGGTCACATGACCTGTCTCCCTCCTCAACTCCGAACGTTTCCCTCCGTTCCAGCCTCTGTTGAGAGGGTCCTGCGTCAAGTCAATTTTGCGAACCCGATCACTCCCGTAGTCCGCGATGTAGAGCGACCTCTCAAAAGAAAACATGCTTGCATGCTCGCGACTGCATCAGTCTTAGCAGAAAGACTTGCAGTTGTCGGCCGACTTAACAAAAACTTCTACACTTGCTGTGTTAGCCCCTTGCTCTCCCGAAATTGATGCCCTGGACTTGACATTATGCTGCCTTCACATGTTGCAAACTAGCAAGCAGTTTGGTTGTCACAGTAGGTACACCTCCTGCACTGTTCAATATCACGTCGCGACCCCTTGCCCATGTCGGGCAAAACAGCGCTTGGCAGAGTGCCGCACACCACAGAGTCAGAGCACGTCAACAGCCTGACCAAGGTTGCAGCCTGGACAAACACCTTCAGGCTCCAAAGAAAATGTAACTTTTCAGATCTTGTTTGTCGTTTCTTAAAAAGCCTGACATCTTGGATCTCAATCGATGTCTTCAGATTCAAGCAATGCCCCCAACCTTTGCTTGTGCTCTTCACACACTTCGAAATGTTCTGTACCAAATCTGCTGGGAGGCGTGTGATCCCGGTCCAAAGCAAGACCGAGCGGTGTGGAGAGCTGTGCATTGAAGGCCGAACCAAAGTCCCCTGCAACGAGTGGGACAGGGGGATGTTTCTTCTTCGCGTCTTCGGTGTTAGTATGGCATGGGTTGCGCCTTTAAGTTTGGGGGGCTATTGTTCTAGCTCCAAGATCCAGGGCATCTGTGTCACTTTCTGTTTCACCGGTCGCAAGTAAAGCCTAACAACATCCAACGATGGAGGATCCCCAAAGGTCCAAATCTCTGTAGAGTAGACACCCTTGCTGTTTCTGGTGAACATCCTGCCAGTCCGCGAAGCTGAAGCTGTGGCAGACAGCATTATCCAGGCACACCAAAGCAAGAGCCACACCCGTGCAAGAAATTGACCCAACGCAACGCCCCTCCGAAGAGGCAACCATAAACTGGCTTAAACCCGAACACTTGAACTTTTACACGAACCTGCAAGAACCTGCATCCCCGACAGCTTCAAGCACTGGGAAGGGGCCAGTTGCAGAAGACTTCATCCTGACAGGCTCCCTCAATAGTGCGAAAACAAACTTGGGTTTCATGCGCCTCTCACTCCTGGGAAGAACTGTCCTGCAAGAGTGTAGACTCGACCTTGGATGTGTTCTTGTGGACTTCCACTCTGAGGCTGCCATTTCGCGTGGCATTGTCTCTGGGTCAGCACACGCTGTTCTACTGCTTCTTTCCAAACCATCCATGCGATTTCGGGTGCTCTCTTCGTAGGTGCATGGAATGCAGCTGGGCGGCCCTCCTCTATGTCCAACCAGCGCAGCATGTGCGTACCCCGCTCAGTGAAGAAGACACGCTGGTTGGAGACGGCTATGCCTTACAGCATCTGTTGCTCACTGGACCCTTCATCAACTAGCAGCCATATTTTGGGGGGCGGCGGTCCTATGCAAAGATCCTAGACTCACTGTGGTTACGAAAAGAATGAGGTGGATCTAAGGAGCTTCTTGCACGTTGGCAGCCCCCTTAGCTTGTTCCAGACTGGACGGTTCAGTGCCGGCCTGTGAAGTTGCAAGAAGGCGTATGGAAAAATTGGGTCTTCGATAGGGTGGGCCTGAGGGGTCTGTGAGAGCCAGTACCACGCCAATTCGGTGCACTGTTCTGCCCAGTGTACTCTACGACGTCTTGGCCTTATCCTGGACTTTACAGTACCACCCGTGTATACAAACGCCTTCGTAAAGGACATTCCTTTCCAGGTTGCTCGGGGTTGCTCACAAAACATGACCAAGCAACTTCAACTGTGCCGTGTGGATGTAGTGTGTGAGTGGGGGTTGGTCAGCGAGTGCACGAACGCCTGCGTTGCGAATCTTCTGAGCGTTGGGGTTGTCTGTGAGGATTTTGGTTTGGCGCTTGCGGAGTGACTATGACTGGAAAGCTTCCAGTCTGTGGAGGTTTGCTCTTGTGAACACTGCTGATTCCTCGGGACAAACACTGTATTGTAGATCCGAACGAAGCCTCCAGGCGACATTCAGGCCTGTCTCCTGAACTGATGCAACGTCTTAAAAAGCTTGCCGGCTTTGGCCAATGTGGTTGGTGGTGACATGAGTTTTGCTCGAGGAGTCCGACCGCAACATCACACCCAGGTACTTGGGCTGTGTGGCTGTCTTCATCCGCTTTGCCGTGGGAAGTTGGATATGATTGGAAGCCGTGCTTGAACGGAGCAATACCGATTTTTTGTAGCTCAGATTGCTATGTGCTGCCACGCCCGGCAGCGTGTGTAGAATCTGCTGCCCGCGTTCCGCTGTGCCTGTGAAGATGGTAGTATCATCGGCGTAGGCCAAATCGTAAAGATGGCTGGTTCTGGCTGTACAGCCACGGCAGGAACTTACCATCCTTGTGTACGGCCTCGTCCACGTCTGCCATGATCATGCTGTGCATCACCAAGAAAAGGTAAGGGTCCCAACGCCCGCCTGTGAGGGGGGCTGGCTCGTCTGGCCCGGTGCTCTCACTGTGAAGGTCGGTGTGATTCAGTGGCGAGTGAGTGCTGTCCAGTCGAGGAGATGCACGTACAATGTTGAGCCGTGCCTTTCGGCGCTCTCGATGAGACGACATGATCGCGTGTGACGTCGACCTCGAGGCTCTGAAGCCGAACTGTGAGCTTCGCAGCTTGCCATCAATTGCCGCTCCAGCCGCCTCTTCAAAATCCGAGCGAAGAGTTTGTGGGTCGTGCTCAGCAAGGAAATGGGCCTGTAGTCTTGTGGGTCACCCATCGCCCCCGTCTTGCGGACCCCAGCAACAATGGCTTCTGACCAGGCCTGTGGGACAACACCTGTGTGCGCACGGTGGGCGCGCGTGCTTGCGTTTTCGCAGAGGGCATGCAGGGGGGGTTAGAAGTACTCCATGGGGACCGCTTTTGTTGCTTGGAGGGTACCTCTTTTATTGGCGGCAGGGATAAGCAGTCAATGGGGACCAGTGATTGACCAGTGGATGGGGACCCAGTGTGCGCTTGCACCTTGTTGTGGTTGTTGTTGTTGTGGTGGTGGTGGGTGTGGATGAGTGTGGTTGTGAGTGTGGATGAGTGTGGTTGTGGTTGTGGTTAAGGTTGTGGGTAAGATTGTGGCTAAAGTTGTTAAGGTGGTTGTTATTGTTGTTGTTGTTGTTGTTGTCAGTGTTGTCCTTATCGTTCTTGTTGTTGTTGCTGCTGCTGCTGTTGTTGTGGTGCTGGTGCTGGTGCTGGTGCTGGTGCTGGTGCTGGTGCTGGTGCTGGTGCTGGTGCTGGTGCTGTTGTTGGCAGCTGTTGCGTCTGCCGCCGCGAACGGTGGAGCGACTTCAGGGCTCA